ATTTGCCCATCACGGAGACCCTCTTTCGAGAAGAAGCTCCGAATGCGGGAAGAAAACATGGAGAGAGAGACATCGTTGTGAGTAAATATAATATCGGGCATTCTTCGATATTAGTAGACATTGTCTGCGCTGTCGTTCGTCACGGTCATCGCCACCGCCGTCGCCATCGCCACAGCCACAGCCACAGCCACCGTCACCACCACCATCGCCATCGCCACCGCCACCACCGTCATCGCCACCATCGCCGCCACCATCACCACTACCACCACCACCACCACTACTACCACTACCACTACCACCACCATCACCACCACCACCATCACCGCCACCGCCATCGCTACCACTACTACTGCCATCGCCGCCGCCGTCGCCGCCGTCCGTCATTATCGTTGTCACCGTTGCCGCTACTGCCGCTGCAACTGTAGACGTAGACGAGATCCGGGAGGCTTGCGCCGGCGAGATGCCGTTGCATCGGCGCGCGTAAAGAATGGTGCGATGCATACGAAAACGATTCGTCGATGGAAACTAATGGAACTCACAATCAGTCCGCGACGGCATCTCAGCTCGCTTCCTCCCTTGCAACAAATTCGTCGCTCGATCGCGTTCCATCCGCGTTATCTTCCTCACGCTTCGCGAAACATGTTACCTTGAAGCATCAAGTAACCTCGCATTTTTCGTATTCTTCGAAAATTCCACTTGCGAAGAACACTTATCCACTCGTTTTTTCCTGCCTAGGTATACGAATTCTGCTTACGATCTGCAATGAATTTCCCGCCGTTCGGAGGTCACTTTCCTAGTACTATACCAAGTATTCATCAATTTGCGACCGACAGTTCCAGCGGGGCGAGCGCGCGTTACGCCAATCATTTTCCCAACCAGCCTCCAATCGGAGTGCCGGTTGTGGGAAAATACCGTCCTGAGAATAACGGCGTACAATCAGCTCAGTCGCAAGTGATGATGAACAATAAAGCTAACTATCCCAACAGCAATGTTCATCATTATCCAAATGTGCCATATTCTCAAGCTCAGTCAGTTCAACAACGACCAACTAACTCGCCTGGAATGCAAGAGAAACGATCGTATCATCAGGTAAAATCCTTTACATAGTCTCCTTTTTTTCCAACAAACTACAATTTTGTATTTTACATACTTTGTTCGCTGATCGTTGATTTTCTGCTTTTCCCTCTTGTTCCTCTCTCTCTCCCCCCC